AGCTGCCCTCGCGTCGCAGACCGCAGAGACCCCCGTCCCCAATTACAGCCACAGAGGGACAGAGGTGTGAAGGCGACCTGTGCCCCGCACACCCCGCAGTCAGGGGTCACCCTCGCCCCGCGGCACCATCTGGTCCCCATAAACACTCGCAAACGCCACGGAGCCTCCCACGGAAAGACGCCTGGAGCCCCGGGAAGGCAGAGCCGGCGAGAGCCCCGGGGGCCAGGCCGGACCCATCCATCACTCTCCGAGCAGACGTCAGCGCAGGATGTGCGCAGCCCCCCCCCGGGGGGGGGAACCGGCCAGGAATCTCACCCCTCGCCCCGGTCCCCGGACGCTGCCGCTGCGCTTGGCCGGAGGCTGCGTGATGCTGGGGCACGGCCGAGCCCCCCCCGGGGGCTTCCTGGACCCCCTGGGACGGAGCCGGCAGAGCAGGCTGCGTGCCCCTGGGTCGCTGCCCACCTGAGGCTCGTGCAGCCAGCCAGCCAGACGCTGGGATGCCGGCGCTGGAAGCCTCATCCCGTGGCTGGCAGCAGGAAAGAGGCGCCCGAGAGCTCCGCAGCCACCTCTCCCTGGGAGGCCGCGCCGGGAGGTGCCGGTGAGATGCCCTTGGCCCGGCAGGAGCTGCCAGGCAGAGGCGGGACGGGGGGTCTGGTCCCCGACGAGATCCCGTGGGGATGGGACGTGCACGCCCGGGGCCACCAGCCCCGCGTAATGCTCGTCATCCCGACGAACCCACTCCACACCTCCACTCGCGTGGGGAAAGACCTGAGTGGGGCCGGCCGCGGCACGGCAGAGCGGGGCTGGCCGCAGCCTCCAGCCGCAGAGACGCAGTGGGCGCAGAGACCAGCAGGTATTTTTTAACACTCCGGGGCTGCTGCGCAGGGAGCGCTGCCTTGCCTGGGGGCTGGGAGCCCAGACTGGGCGTCTCTTCCTGAAGCCAGGAGCAGCGGCCTTGACGCAGGAATCCCTGGGCGATGCTCTTGCCAGGAGCACAGACGGGATCCCAGCAGGCCTGGGCTGTTTTCTCCTCAAACGCACCAGCCCCAGGGGTCCCGTGCTGGCCAGGTGGGAGCAGAGCCCGGACCCCAAAGCGGCTGACAGGATGCCCCACGCACTCGCCCCATCCCCAGCACTGACGTGCCCGGCACAGGCTCTGCAGTGACCGCTGGGGACCACACTGGGAGACCTTGACTGGGCGTCCCCAGCTCCGGTTGTTCTGGGGCAGGGAGCAAATCCCACAGCGCCGATGGTGCCGTCGGGTTGGTCAGGACCGGGGTCTCAGTCCCAACAAAATCCCACGGGGATGTGCACGCCGGGGGCCGCCAGGGAAGGCTGGGCTGCGGCTTCCCCCACGGGGCCAATCCCCAGCACTGGGATCCACGTCCCCCCATGGGGCCAGTCCCCAGCAGTGGGGTCCAAGTCCCCCCCCAAGGCCCTATCCCCAGCAGTGGGATCCACGTCCCACCCCCAGCCCCATCCCCAGCACTGGGATCCACGTCCCACCCCCAGGCCCATCCCCAGCAGTGGGATCCACGTCCCACCCCCAGCCCCATCCCCAGCAGTGGGGTCCAAATCCCCCCCCAGGCCCCATCCCCAGCAGTGGGATCCACATCCCACCCCCAGCCCTGGGATCCACATCCCCCCCCAGCCCCATCCCCAGCAGTGGGATCCATGTCCCCCCCCCAGCCCCATCCCCAGCAGTGGGATCCACGTCCCCCCCCAGCCCCACAGTGCGGCGGAAGGAGCAAATTCCTCCCAGATGGAGTTTCTTAACGGTGTCAAAGCAGCCCAGTAGCCAGGGCCCGTCCCTCCCCTCCGCTCGCCTCCCACCCACCCACTCGGGCTGCCTCCCGTGTCGTTAACACATCGCCTCCGGCGAGCCGCGTCCTCCAAGTGAGCGCGGGGGAGTCTGGAGCCCCGGAGCGAGGGACTGCCGTCACTCAGCCTCACGTCTGGAAGTTGTTCTTGGATGGGCCCTGGGCATTCCTAGACGCACATTCCTGGCAGCCGGCGAGCCTCGTAGGAAAGATTCTTCTCTTGAAAATATCCGGTCCACGTGGAGGAGAAAGGGGATGGGGCAAGCTCAGCCCTCCCACCCCCCACCCCTGGCGACCGTGCCCCGGTGCTGGGGGGGCACTGGGCTTCCCAGGGCTGTATCAGGGGGACGCCTCGCGTGTCCCCCCCGAGGTGACCGCAGCCCAGACCCCAGCGGTGTGAGCGAGGGCTCTGCACCCCCAGCACCCCCACCCCGTAGGAGCGGGGTCCTCAAGGGGTCTGGCACAAGCCCGGGGTCAAGGTGTCTGCAGGAAAGGCACCCCAAGCAGGGCTGTCAGCCGGGGAGGGGAGAGGTGGATTGGAAAGGGACCCTGGAAGCCCCTCGCCTCGGCGGAGGGAGCAGGGAGAGGCAGGCAGCCGCTGCAGGCAGTGGAGTCGTGGCGTCATCGCAGGCAGCCAGGCCAAGCTTCCAGGTAATAAAGTCGTGGCAGGGGATGGAGCGCAGCGGGGAATTTCAGGCTCCTCGGCCACAGCTCTGCAGCCGCAGCCTCCCCGGGAGAAGGCGCCTGCAACCAGGCTCCGCTGACCTGCCAGGGCTGGGCAAACGAGGCCCAAACTGGGACATCATGGAAGCTCTGCGGGAAGCCAGGAGAGCCACAGAGCCAGGGGTCGGGCCGCTGCCATCTCCAGCGCCAAATACCTCTGCTTAGTTAAAACCGGGGCTCGCCGAGCCGGGGCCAGGTCTGGCGCTCGGGCCCGACGTCACCTGCGTGCAGGACCGCTCTCCATCCCGGTCCAGAGCCCGAGGAGCTGGGCCGCGGGGAGACGGACGTGCCTCTCACCAGGAAGGACAGCACGGGGAAAGCGCCCGGGGATTGCACTTGGATAGAAGGTGCTAGAGAAAAGCGAGATCATTAGCGCAGCTAAACGAAAGCAGATGCCTACAGGAGCCTGGGTTTCCAAAGCACACACGGTGAGCGCCCAGCGCTGTGGAAGGAGATGACAGTGGCTTGGATTTCAGAAGCTGCTGAGACTGCCGATTAGCTGTGGTAGCGCACTGCAAAGGTGCAGAACGCTGGCTCGGAGCGACAACACCCCGCGCGGAGCTCCTGCCGGGGAGCGCGCTCGGGGAGGGGTGGGGGGGGACACAGCGCGGCACCGCCGGGGAAACCCGAGACTTCCCGGCGAACGGCAATTCCCGTTCCTGGCCAAGTCCAAACGCCGCTTATCAACACACCGCGCAAACCCGGCGCGCTCGAAGGCCGTGACGTGGCCGTGCTGCCAGCGGAGCAGCGGGGGCTCGCCCGGCCGCGCGCAGGCAGGGCCGGAGCTGCCGCTGCCGGGGATTGCCAGCCCCCTCTCCCCGTCACCAAAAGCAGCCGGTGGCCCCCCCCCCCCATCCCCAGGCTGTGGGTTTGCCGTGCCCTTGCCAAGGGGATGACGCTGCCCTGGGGGTCGGGGGGCAGGAGCTCTGTGGGGCCGGGGCTCGGGGGAAGAGCAGGCGTTCTCCGGGCACCGACGCTCTCCCCGTGCAAAAGCGGAGCGCGCGCTCCCGCTGTCACGGCTCGTATTTTACGAGGTTACGGGGCTGGAGCAAGGCGACCCGGAGCTGAGGCGACTCCCCGCAGCTCAGGCAGAGCTTCGGAGGCTCCCGGGCCCCATCCTGGGTGCGGGACCCCAGCCCCACAGCTCTGTGGCCCGGGATGCTGTGGGGATCCCCACGTGCCTGGCTCCTGAGGAGGAGGATGACGGCCTTCACCGGGGCCAAACCTCTCCGCAGCGAGGGCCCAGCCGGGCCAAGCTCCGGAGCAGCCTCGCAGCACCTCCCTGGCTCCGGGTCCACGATCTATGCCATGAAATCAAGCGGCTCTGGGGCTGCCACAGAGCTGAGAGCTTGGCAGAGCAAAGGCAGGGCTGGGTTCTTTGCTCCCGGGTCTGGGCACAGCCAGCCAGCACTGTCCCGCTGAAGCGGCAGCTGCCGGGGGCCCATGGGGACCCCTGCTCGACCCCCCAAAGCCGCCTGTCCCCGGAGGAGTCTGCTCGAGCTGTGCACGATGAGCCGGCACGGGAAGGGGAGCCGGGGTGGTTTGGGGCAGGTTGAAAAGGCCGATTTGCCAGCAGGTGCTGGTTTCTGCGGGGTCAGCAGAGCCGGTGGGGCTACGGGGACAGGCTGTGGGGTCTGGTTATAGGGACAGGTTATGGGGACAAGAGTGGGCTCTGCACCCACCCGCACTTATGGGGCTGCTAGAGACACAAACTTCATATCTGGGGAGGAAATTAAAGAGAATGCAAGCAGCAGGCATGCTGCAGGCGGGAGGTGTGCCGGCGGGCAGCTCCTCAAGGGTTAATCCCTCCCTCTCTGCCCCATTAGCAGCAGCAGCAGCAGGCAGGATGGATTTGGCCACGCTGCGGAAGCGGGGGGAGCGCTCTCAAGGGTTCTCTTTGCAGGGACTAATCCTGAGCAGGAGCCCAAATCCTCAGCCCCAGCCTGGGGGGTGACGCAGCCCCGTCGCCGGTGCGGGCTGCCCGCGAACCCCACAGGCACGGGGCCGGGGGAACCTCCCCTCCACCCCGGCACGTAGGGTCCTCCAGGAGCCCCCCCCCGAACCCCACTGTCAGTCCCCACCTCCCTGGCAGCGCCGTGCCCCCCCAAGGCCCACGCAGGCGGTGGGCGAGGACGCCGGGCGAGCCCCCATGTGCCCACCGCATGCTACCCCGGCAGCCGCGGCCGAGGCCCGCAGAGGGGCAGGTGAACCCCGGCGAGCTCTCCCGTCCTCGCCAGCCCCCCCCCAGGCCGCGGGCAGGACCCCAAGGCTGAGCCCTGAAGGGTTAAGTCCCCCGTGGGGATGGAGGGCGAGCTCAGGTAGGCTGAGCCTGAGCAGCTCCCACTTCCAGAGCCCGAGCAGGGCTGGTGCCGGAGCCGGAGGAGGGGCCTGGCTGACCACTGCTGCTGCTATAAAACTCCCCGCTCCTGCCACACTCGGCGTCTTAAGATGCACATGTGTGGGGAGAGGAAACAGGCAGCCCTGCCTGTGAGCAGCCCTTAACCCCTTCTGCTCGGAGAGAGCCGGCGGGGAGCTGGGGAGGGGGACCCCCTGCCACAGCACCTCCCAGCCGGAGCCTGCCGACACCAGCCGGGGCTCCCCCGGCACCCCAGCCGGGGCAGCAGCAATGAGCGCCTGGAGCTGAGCCCGCCCGCGGCAGGAGGAGGTCGGCAGAGCACGGCGGTTCCCCCCCCCCGCTCCCCGGTGCCCCCCACGCCGCCCAACCATGTCCTTTGCCATGCTGCGCTCGGCCCCCAGCCGGTACCTGTACCCCGAGATCAGCATGCTGTCCGAGGATGAGGAGAACGGCAGCGAGAGCTCGGGCTCGGATGAGAAGCCTTACCACCTGGACGCCGACGGCTACGGCATCAAGGCCAGCAAGCGCAGGAGCGGCAAGAAACCCAACCGGATCAACAGGGAGCCCCGGCAGCGTCACACGGCCAACGCGCGGGAGCGTGACCGCACCAACAGCGTCAACACCGCCTTCACCGCCCTCCGCACGCTCATCCCCACCGAGCCGGCCGACAGAAAGCTCTCCAAGATCGAGACCTTGAGACTGGCCTCCAGCTACATCTCCCACCTGGGGAACGTGCTGCTGGTGGGGGAGGCGTGCGGGGACGGGCAGCCCTGCCACACCACCCCTGCCTTCTACCACCACGGCGGCAGCAGCCCCCCCGCGCGCGACACCGAGAACTCCCAGCCCAAACAGATCTGCACTTTCTGCCTCAGCAACCAGAGGAAGCTGGTAAGTGGCCGCTCGCGCCGTCCCCGCGGGGCTTTAGGCTGGAGGGGGGCTGCGCCGGCCGCGGTGGGGGGGGGGGGGACGACCCCCGGGTGTCCCCAGCCGCGGCTGCGTGAGGAGGGGGTTAGGGGAGCGCCGGGACACCGGCTACGGCTCCGCTGCCGTTGGGCCGGCGCGAGCTGAGGGGGAGATGGGATGGCTGGGAGAGCCGAAGCAGCTCCGGAGAGCACGCCAGACCCCGTCAGCGAGCCCAAAGCCCGGGCGTGAAAAATACGGCGCCTGCCTTTAGCACGTCCGGATTCGCCGCCCAAAGCCCCCGACCTCGCACGCGTCCGCTGAAAGGCAAAGGGACGGGAGAAGGGGAAACCCTCTGAGGGCGAGAAAAGGATTTTAGGAGCTGGAAATGAGAGGCACAGGGAAAGTAAAGGCTCTGGAAACCAGAGTCTGCATCTCCCCTCTAGCAAAGTGCTGGCAGCAGTCGGAGAGGAGAGAGCGACCGGGGCGCAGGGCTGGCCGCAGCCGGGGCTCCCACCCCCCGATGCTGGCGGCTGGGCCGGCTCCCCGGGCTGGTCCGTCGCCGGGCCAAGGGCCACGCTGGCTCTGCACACCCAGCCGTGGGCCTGGTGTCGGGAGGAGCCGTGCCAGGGCAGGGCTGGCGGGTAGCCGAGGCCAACACCGTGGCGTGGGTGCTCCTCGAGCACCCCGGAGGGATCGGGGGGGGACCGGCAGCTCCGCCCCACCAGCGCTCGGCAAGCGGGATGGCTGTCCTGGCTCGCCAAAAGCACCAGTGGGTCCCGACCGCCAAGCAGGAGCTGTAACACCCTGCCCGGGCCAGTTCACCCAGTGTCCCCCACGGCTGGCTCCCCACCAGGGTCTTTAGGGGAGCGCTCTCCTCCCGGCGTCCTGGCAGGCAGCACTGTCTCTGGCAGAGGCTGTTTCCGTGCCCGCCGGGCACCAGCACTGGCCAACGCCTGCCATGCAAGCCCCCGGCTCCGGTGGGGTGGGCAGCACTGCCCACGGAGCGGGGCGAGGGGGCAGGTGGAGTAGGGCACGGGCCCGGCAGCCAGACTGGGGAAAAAAAAAATCCAGCTTCACCAAGGCTCCGGGGGCTGTTTGCAGGAGTGGCACCGGCGGCAGCCTTCCTCGGGGCTCTCCCGACGTCCGGGGCAGCTCTTGCCACGCACACGGCCCTGGGGGAGCGGGGGGCACGGGGAGGAGGCGGATGTCAAGGGCTTCAAGCCTCGCTCGGGAAGGCTGTGCCCTGCGTGGCTGGGTTTTAAGAACCTGTCGGTCTCCCGCACGGCGCAGACGGTCTCTGGCAGGGCAGAGGTAGAGGAGAGCGCAGGAGCCGAGGCGTCGGGACGGCAGCCGGAGCCATGCCGGCACGCTCCACCGTCTGAACCCATTTAACCCCAATGAGTAACACCCCGAAGAGGGAGAAGTCTTTGTTAAGGATTCAAGGCTCATTAAGCATGAAGCAGCGGCGGTAAAACGAGTCCCGAGCAAACTCTGGCAGCTTGAGTATTTCAGAGCAGGGAAACCCCAAACCCCCTTAATCCCCCTGGCACGGCCTTTCCAGCTCCCTCGAGCAGGAGACAGCGGGGGGAGCGACGTCGGGATCTGCCGGGACTCGCGCTGCGAATCCGTCGGTCGTCGCCGAGGCAAACAGGGCACTTCCCCTCGAGCCAAGTGCTTCCCCTGTCCGCAGCTTCCACGGGCACCAGTGTCAAACTGTCCCCAGTGGGCGAGGGAGGGATGCAGCCCGCCGGCTGTGACGTGCCCGGCAGCGTGCTCAGCCCAGCGCCGTCCCCGTTCAGAAGCAGCTGGGGAAGCTCCTACAGGGCTGAACTGGAAAACTCGCCCGCCTTCCAGTTACCAGCCTGCTTGGACCCCTCCTGTAACAGCTGCAAAGACCAAGTTCTCTTTTGTTGGCATTGCCACTTTTGCATCAATTCCGATAAATTCCCATTGCTGCTTTTACGTCAATTCCTATAAATTCCCACTGCCACTTTTCCACCAACTCCTATAAATTCCCATTGCCTCTTTTACATCGATTCTGACAAATTCCCACCGCCGCTTTTACATCAGTTCCTATGAACTCCCATCACTGCTTTTACATCGATTCTGATAAATTCCCATCGCCGCTTCTGCATCAGTTCCCAGCACGGGCTCCCGTGGGGGAGCAGACCCCAGGACGGGCAGGTCTGTGCCAAGGCGCGTGGAGAGGATACGCAGCGCAGGACCGCCGCGCCAAGATGGGCCACCTCCCTTCCTGCAGCTCTCCTGGATGAACCTCCCCGAGATGAGATCCTCCGCGGCTGCCACAGGGGACAAGAGGTTTTGCTCTGGCTGAGAAATAAGTTAGGTCGGGCTCACGCTGGGACGAGGGGACTGAACAGACGGTGCCTAAGCACTGCGCGCGGTCTGCGCTTGCGATTTTACGGCCAGATAACAACTCCATAGGTTTTATTGTGTGTTAAAGGAATAAAATAAGCCATCTTTTATCAGGAAGGTATTCTGACAAATGGTGAGGAAATGAAAACAACCTCCCCTGGAGTTGCAAACACAGCGCAGCTGGGATCGCACGGCCTGTCTGACGCTGGGTGGAAGGGACCCTGCCTTGGCTCGGGAGAGCCAGATGGCCACTGGCCCCTTGGGGACAAGCCAGCTCCGGGCGAGACCACTCGCCTCGCTGCGCACCCAAAGCCACCCCAGCACCAACGCACGCGGCAGCTCCGGCCCTTGCGGGCTCGGGGGCTCGGCGAGCGACCGCACGCAGCGCCCCCGAGGCCCCAATCCTGCCTACCCACGAGGGAAGGAGGCAGAGCCACTGCTCCTCCCCCACGCACACCCGCAGCTTCGCTCCACGCTCAGCTCCGAGGAGAGCAGCGTGACCAGACCCAGCATATAAACTGTCCCGAGCCGCTGGGTGCTCAGCCCAAAGCGGCCCAGCCCTCCCCATCGGAAAGGTCTGCTTTCCCACCACCTCTTTTTGCTCACGGGTAGTGATGTCATTTCAACCAGCGTGACCTCGTGGCATGATTTTGTCCGCCTCCAGCTCTCTAGGCTTTGCCAAAGAATGGGTAACCTCGTGAGGGATCTCATCGCGGTGCCCCCCCGCACCGGTTGCCCCTCTCACCGGGCCCTGCCCGTCCATTTTGTGTCCGTTTTCCCCCCCGAGAGCAGCCGGCTCTCTAAAAACTCCTCCTTCCCCAACGCGCAGGACGCGCCGTGCCTGCCCAGCTCCCGGCCCTGCCGCAGCTGCCGTCCGCGCCGGGCACACCGTCTCCGTCCCCAGCCGTGGGACGTGGCGCCCAACCCGTGACTCCCGGGGGGGAAGGTGATGCCACGACTCCCCTCGTTAAAAGCCCGGCACGTTCTAGAGGGGCAGGAGATGGCACCGAAGCCCCGCGGGACAGCCAGATGCCACCTTGTCCCCGGGCACCCTGGCCGGGAAGGCGGGAGCATCGGGGGAAGGTCGGGGGTGAGCGTCTGCGGTCGCGGCGAGCGGGACCCACTGCGGGGAGGGGAGAACGGGACGGACGGTGTGAGCGGCTGTGCAGAGGCTCTTCCTAGGGAGGGGGGGTCACTATGGGGATGGTTGGGGTCCCCGGCTGCTGCGGGCACCCCAAGGGAGAGCCGAGTAGGGCAGCAAACTTTCTGTAAGCCCAGAATCGCACTGCGTGACTCAGCCCCAGCGTCCCGACACCGTCTCATCCCAGGGACTTTCCCATATCGGTCTGAAACCACCACCAGCTCCCTGGAATGATCCTTCTTTTTTTTTTTTTTTTTTAACATGACTCATGTGTAGGTGTCCGCCGCCCGCCGGAGGAAGGCTGAGCTCTGCTAAAGGGGCTGCCTAGGCCGGCGGCTGCTCAGGCTCGGGCTGGTTCACCCCCACCTAACCAAAAAGTGAAAAACCTGCCTGGGGACACGGGGCAGAGGGAGGTGCCATACTGGGAGGAGCATCACAGCCCCTGGCTTTGCTGGGGAGCGGGCTCCTGCCGTGCCCATCAGCGAGCGCTGGGAGAGGGGACCCGGGGCCGCGGTGCCCCGGCCACCCCATCCCGGCCACCCCACGGAGCCGTTTGTGCCTCTCCAGGTTTGCCTTTGTGGCTGTTGCCCGTGCCAACGTCCTCGCCAGGACACACAGTGCTGGCGGGGGGAAACCAGGACGTTTCTCCTCCAGCGACTGTAAGAGCTGGGAGAGCTGCTGGGAACAGCCACGGCACGGAGCAGCTCGCAGGCTGCCTGCGCCGGGGGAGGACTTGGCTCATCTAAATGCCCAAAAATCCAAACCCAAGCAAGGCCTCTTGCTGGGGCTGGGGACCCTCGCCGTGTCCTCTGCGTGCCACCTGCCCTCACAGAGCGCTCGGCCCCGCTGTCTGCCCGCCGTGGGGCCGCAAAGGACTGAGGGGCCAAGCGGGCCTGGGGACAAGAGGTGCCGGGTGACCCCGAGCAGGATCGCACGCTGGTGAACGGGGCGAGGGATGAGTGTCCAGCATTGGCCGCCCCGTCTTCTGGAGCGGGAGCGTGCGTCTGCACGGGAAGCAAACCGGGGAGGGGGCACCGACACCACCTGGGAGCTAAAAGGTGTCGCAAGGGTGAGCAGGGCTGAGCTGTCCCGTCACCCGGGCGGCGGTGACAACGGGTACCACGTCCCGTCCCAACCCGCAGCAGAGCATCCAACCGAAGCCACGCAGCGCCGTGCCCCGCGTCGGGGTGCGGGTAGAGCGGTGCTGAAGCCTCCCCTCAACGTGAGGGCGGGACGGGCGAGGACGGGCTTTTTGGGGAGCCTGGACCCATAGAGATCCCCTCGCCGGGGGGCCCAGAGCACAACCCCTCTCCCCTGATCTCAGGGCGGCGCGTCCACCCCCCGCCAGCACTTGGGAAGCAGCCGGGACCCCCGGCACGGTCAGCCCGGTGACATGCCAGAAAGGAGCAGCCGAGCCTGAGGCATGGCAAGGCTGTAAAACCACCCCCGCGGCCCCCGGGCCCCCCTCGCTGGTTGGGGAGCGGGTACGGAGGGGTGTCCCTGCCCCGTCCCGCGCGGAGGAGCCAGAGGGGTGCAGGCAGGGGACCGGTGACCCCCAGCTTTGCGCATGGGGCCGGAGCAGCTCCAGATCGCGCTGCCACCCCCGAGGGCAGAGAGGGAAGGAGGAGGGCGACCTCCGTGCGGACCCCCAGCTCCAGCTGGGGCCAGGGGCAACGGGGGGCAAGCGCGGCAGGAGTGCAGCACCGAGAGCATCTCCCAAACCAGCTCCAGCCCAGCGACCACGGGGCTGGGGCAGAGCGATGAGAGGACCGGAGGTTTTCCTCTGTGCCTCGGGAAGGGACGAGGTGGCCATTCGGGAGGGTGGGGGTCTGTGGGGCTCGGCGAAATTGGGGCTGGGGAGGAACCCGGCCGGTGCCGAGCAGGAGGGGATGGGGATGGGTTCTGAGATGGCAGCGCTGGCGTGGCTGGATCTGGTTGAACCGTCACCGCCAGCGGGCGAGGAGGGGGGGGGGGGTTCACCAAACAGACCTGGTGCGGCCGCGGGCGCCTGGATCGGACCCTGGGGTGGGGGGGGGAACACCAGCAAAGGCTTTCAAGGGCAGCTGTGACCAAGGGGGGCTTGTGATCCAACAAGGAACTCGCAGCCTGCGGCGGGGGCGAGAGTGGCACCGGGCACCCCCGGGGCTCAGCACCCCCACGGCCAAGCCCCCCGCTTGCCCTCGCCCCAGGCGCAGCTGGGGAGCTCGGTGTCCTCCCCACCACCTCTCTCCACGTCCCTCCTGACCCCACGCAGCGCAGGGTCACCCCGCTGCCGTGCCCGCTCGGCGTTAGGAGTCCTGCAGGTTTTGTGCAATAAGACCCCGTAATTTGGGCACGGGGTGGCAGGGCGGCAGGGAGCGCTGGGCTGCGGGCACAGTGACGGTGCCGGGGAGCTGCCCGGGGCCACAGGCAGGGTCCAGGAGCTCCGTCCCTCGCCCCAGCGCCGTCCCCCCGCTCCCCCCAACGGTATCTACAAGATGGGACGGCTCCGCAGCCCTGTAATTTACTGTTCCTGCTGCACTTAATGGCAGCGGAAAGGCAAGGTGATAGGGGAAAAAATATGAGGCGGGATTTTCCGAATCCCCATTTCCTCTCCAGACAGCACAAGAACTCCTGGGGCCTGAACATCTGGGAAATTTAATTTTACCATTTCTGAGCTGAACTCCCCTTCCCCTCCCCTCCCCACCCCCGGTAACAAAGGAAGAGTCAGAGCAGGGGCCGCACGTGCAGCCGTGGGGGAGGCTGCACCGCAGCGAGCCCCGCGGGCCAGCCCGGGGCCGGGGCCTCGGCTGGGCCGTGCTGGCAAGTCACAGGCTGGCTGAGGAGGGGTGGAAACGTCACCTACCGCCCGGTCACCGGTGGGGAGCCCCGCACCCAGCGGGGCAGGGCCCAGGCGGCCACGAATGCCATCAGACTGAGAGCAGCACCGGCCCTGCCTGCACCCACCTGGCTGGGACAGCGGCCGTGCTGGGGTAACAGTGGTGCTGGTGGTGATGGTGGTGGTGATGGTGGTGCTGGTGGTGGTGGTGGTGGTGGTGGTGCTGGTGGTGGTGGTGGTGGTGGTGCTGGTGGTGGTGCTGGTGGTGGTGCTGGTGCTGGTGGTGGTGCTGGTGGTGGTGCTGGTGCTGGTGGTGGTGCTGGTGCTGGTGGTGGTGCTGGTGGTGCTGGTGGTGCTGGTGGTGCTGGTGGTGGTGCTGGTGGTGGTGGTGCTGGTGGTGGTGGTGCTGGTGGTGGTGCTGGTGGTGGTGCTGGTGCTGGTGGTGGTGCTGGTGGTGGTGGTGGTGCTGGTGGCAGTGATGGTGGCAGTGTTGGTGCTGGTGGCAGTGCTGGTGCTGGTGGCAGTGCTGGGGCTGGGGGCTTTTCTGGCACTGGGGAGCAAAGCCCGAGTCGCAGCCCGGCTGTCACCAAGGGGCTGGCCGGGAGGACTCTGTGACGGCACGGGGGGAGGCTGCCTGCAAGCCGCGGATGGCAACCAGAGGGAGGGGGACGAGCCGTGGTTTCAGGGCCTCAGCCTGTCACCGACAGCTCGGGCAGAGTTTCTGTCCTGTGCGGGGGGGGGCTCAGGACAGGGGCTGGGCGGGTGACACGGCGCAGCAGGGTGTTAGTGCTGGGCATCCCCAGGAGCGCGGGCGGCAGAGCCAAGGGGGGTCCCTTGGCAGGGCCAGGGTGGGGGGAAGGCACCTGCAGGAGCAGGGCTTTGGGGCAGCTCCCCTGACCCCCCCCCCCGTCCCCCCCAAGAGACACGGAGGGGTGGCGATGACACCTCGCAGAAGCTCCCGAGAGCTGCCGGAGCGGAGCCGCCGCAGGACTTTCCTGCCGAGCACCGGCGTGGGGAGGAGCGAGAGGCTCCCGGGCTGGAGCCAGCGTGCTGGCAAAACTCCCAGCCCCAGGTGTGTTTTTTTAACTTGGCCTTCTCCTTCTTCTCTGCAGAGTAAAGACCGAGACAGGAAGACGGCGATTCGGAGCTAGATGATCCTAGTTTTCAGGAAGGACGACAAGGAGGAGCAGAAGGAGGAAGGATGGAAAAGCCACACACACAAAACCACAGCCACGGACACTCCTGCCTTCACCCTGCTGCCGGGGAGAGCTGCACGGCGTCACCCCGGGGGACCTTAGACGCGGGCAGGCGCCTCGGGAGAGGCCGGGCGTCCTCCCGGCTCGGAGGGGTGACGGCAGACGGGAGGCGAACACGGACGCGGCAGGACTTTGCTCGGAGGAACCCTCGCCGCGCAGGGACGCTCCGCCACGGCGCGGGCAACGCGGCCGCCGCCCGGCGAGCCGGAGGGGCAGGGGACCCGCTCCGGGGGGGTCCTTGGAAGGGGAGCCCCTGCCCCGGTCTCTGCGGACGCCGCGTACGGCGGCTCCCGGGGGAGAGCCGGCGCTCGGACGGGCCCCGTCCCAGGTCTGACTCGAGCAGCGCTGGTGAAACCGCTTACGGAAACACCCCGCTCTCCCCGTCCCCTTCCAGCTTTGAGCCACTCCATCCCCTGAACTCAGAGTCCTGGGGTGCTGCATTTGTTGAGTTTAATCAATACATGCTGGTGTTTCATGTCATTGATATGATAATATAAAGCCTGAGCAATTTGTATAATTAAAAATGAATATGGTTCAGACTCACAGCAGGAACCTCCTTCCTTCCAGGGCCCCCCCCTCGCACAATAAACCTCTGGTTCCACCCTCACCCCCACTGGTTTTAGGCACCGGCCGGTCAGCGAGCGACGGAGCCGCAGCTCGAGGTGTGCTCCCCCCGCGCCGGGCACAGCCCCTCCACCTGCCCCCCTGCCCCCAGGACTGAGCCCAGCCCGGGGCCTGGGGGGGACGGACACCCCCTTCCCGCAGGGCGGCCCGGGGCCAGCACCGGCCCCCGTGTGCCACGCTCAAAGCCAGCCGGAGGGCCAGGTAAAAAGCAAGGACTGGGGGAAAACCAGATGCTGCAGCTGAGCTGAGTTTCCTGGGGAAATAAATGACACGCATACGCCCCAGCATCTCAGCGCTTGCCGGCGCTCCTCCAGGCAGCACTCGCTCCGAGATTTCACGGGCCCCTGGCTGCAGGGCAACGAAATGCTCCTTCTAAATGTCACCAAAACGGCGTCCCGAGGTTAGAAAAAGCGCGAGACGGAGTAAAGGTTGAGCCCCAGCCCCCTCGAGCAGCAGGCGAGGGGCTGCTCGGCTGTCAGCGCGCCTGCGAGCCCTTCCTCGCTCCCTCCCGCAGCTCGGGAGCCCAACGGGGCTGAGCCCCGGGGCCGAACGGCTGCTCAAGTGTGGGGTCCCGGCGGGCCGGGGGCTCGGGGCTCTGCGGGGGACACGAGCCACCCACCCCGCGTGCCGGATTCACCCCGGCCTGCCAGCGGCACCCGGACAGCCCCTGAGGGACCCGGGGGGCTCTGGCCCCAAGAGCGGGGCTCCCCGGGGGATGCCCAAAGGAGGGAGCGGGGCTGGGGGAGGATGCAGTGAGAGAGCTGGAGAGGAAAGAGGAGGAGGAAGGGAGGCAGCGCGGGGCACCGGGGCGGCGGGCTCCGTGTGCTGCGGCGGGGGAACAGACCCTCGCAGACGCGGAGGAGACCCCGGGGCGCACGGGGAGCCCGCAGACCACGGCCCACCCCTTGCTAGAGCACCCTTGCTGGCTCAAATGTGCCAGGAAGCATCTCCGCCCCCCGCACAGCACGGAGCCGGCCGCTGCCCGGCGAGCTCAGCCAAGGTCAAAGAGGTGGCAGCCGGTGGCCCGAGCCCCCGGGGACCCCCGCGCCTTGTCCCCAGCTGTGCGTGGGACATTGTCTCTCACAGAGGGGGACCGCCACGAGCCCCGGAGAGCCCAGTCCCCTGGGAGCCAGGGTTGCTCCACGCCGGCCGCGGGCACTCCCCGAAGATAACCAACAGCTTTTGTAATTTGCCTGGGATGAATTTCGAGGGCCGCGAGTGGGTCTCGGAGGGGCATGTTCTGCAGAAGGGAAGGCGAGAGGGGAGCAACAGGACTCAGGGAGGCTCAGCACCGGGAAACCAGGGCGTGATCATCCATAGCTCCTCCTTCCAAACACACCGGTCCAGCGGAGCTCGGGAAATACGGACCTCTGCCTCTGGTGAGCCCTGGGCTGGGGGGGACAGCGTCCCCCAGGTTGTCCTGCAAGGCACGGGGTGCGCTGGCTCCCCGGCCGGGAGGTGCAGGGGGGGTTCCCTCGCTGCGCTGCACGGCCCTCGGCCGCAGGAACCTCAGTGGCAGCTCGTGCCAGGGCGGCCGAGCGGCAGAACGGCTCAGCCGCGCTCCCCCAGCACCATCGGAGCGGGAAGAGGCCGTTTGCTCCACGCCGAAGGGTTCCGAGGCCCCGGGCGGCCCGAGCGTGGGGCTGCTGGTTTGACAGGTCCGGTGCTTCACCTGCAGGGAGGCCGGTGCAGGGGTTTCATGGAAGGATTTGGATGCACTCCGCTTTACGGAGATGGAAATTTTTATATTTTTAATTTCAATATTAGTGGTTTCGAAGCTGGAGAAAGAGGTTTGGAAAGGCTCCCTGCCTCTCAGGCAGGGCTCAGAGGCATGCACAGGCAGTGATGTGACCATTGAAATGAAATTTGTAGGCGTTGGGGAGGAAAAGTTCGATTCAGTGGAGTCCTTTCGAGTCCTGCAGATGAGGTCGTAACACTCAACACTTAAATGGTGCTTCACCAATTCCAAGGGATGCTGCCAACCTGTCCCCACCCACGGTGAAGCTGCTGCTGCGGTCACGCAGGGACAGGGGCTCGGTGCTCGAGCAAATAAAACCACGGCAAGGCAGTGCACTTTGCCTTCGCGTGCGGAACGGTGCTGGCGCTCGGCAGGGCCCCTGCGCCGCCGAGCTGCCGCTCAGCACCGACGTGGGTGCAGAAGGGCCCCGGTTTCGGGCGCGGGCAGCCGAAGAGGAGGGCTTGAGCAGCGGTGCCCTGGCAGACGGCGTGCATACCTTGGCAGGCAGCAGCTCCGAGACGCTGCCACCGGATCCCGCGGGGCCTCTTCCAGCCACGCGTTCCTCTCCCGGCTCGTCGCCGCAGGGCTCAGCCACCACGGGCCGAGCGCGGGCGCTGCTCCGTCCGGGTGGAGCGGGGAAAAAGCTCCGGGGCTGGTCAGGAAGGGCCGTGCTTGCACAGGTACAGCTGCCGGAGGTGCAGCTTCCCTCCCCCCCTGCTTTACCAGCGCTCGCCAGCTGTGCTGCCGGCAGCACCGGGCTCTGCGCGAAGCCAAGCGCGGACGGGTTGTGTCCCCGGGGTGGAGGCAGCGGCCAAGTCCCCTTCCCCGGTGCAGGTGCTCAGCTCCCTGCCCCTCGCCAGACCCACGCACTGCCCTGCAAGAGGCGAAAGCTCCCAGGTCCAGCAAAAAAGCATTCCCGGCTCGGGAGGCTGTTTCCGCTCGCCGGCTGGCGCCGGGGGGACGGGCGGCCGTCCGCAGAGAGCCGTGCGGCAATTGCTCTCAGCTGTGTGATAGGGCCTGCCCGGGTGCAGAGCAATTTTCCACCACATACTTGCTCTGTGAAGTCACAGGTAGCTCCAGGATCCGCACGTCTGCCCACGTCCAGGACGCGCCGTTGGCTCGGGGAGGATGGGGAGACGGGCTGCAGCTCCCTCAGCCACCGGCTCCCGTGGGACTGGCAGCGAGCCTTGGCAGGCTCCCGCGAGCCCCTCGCCGCCAGCTCCGGGCACCGCAGCTCTCCTCTTAATTCCTGCCCCAGCCCAGGCCCTGCCTTCAGCGCCTGGGATGCGCCCCAGTGCTGTAAGCTCCGGCAGCAAGGCCCAGCTCCTGCCGGAGGCAGAGGAAGGAGCGGAGGGCTCGGGGGCTGACAGCCAGCCCCTGCGGTGCTACCCACCGCCGCCCCCCCTGAGCCGCGCTCCAAAGGGACAAGAGCTGCCTTTGCGGAGATCCCCGACGCAGAGAGCGAAGGGCCTGCCCGCCCCAGAGCTCCCAGTTCACAAGCAAGAAGTGGAACCACTGAGCCTGACGTGGGACCGCTCTGCGACTGCTGCCCCGGGACCGGCCCCCACCGACCCCCCCCGGCGCTGCCCCCCAGGCTCGAGGGCGCGCGGGGCTGAGGCTGGGAGGCACCAGCCTGCTCCCCTCCACCTCACAGAATTGCAGGCTGGTTTGGGCTGGGACCTTGAAGATCATCCAGTGCCACCCCCCTGCCCCGGGCAGGGCCCCCTTCCCCCAGCCCCGTCCAACCTGGCCTTGAACCCTTCCAGGGAGGGGGCACCCACAGCTGCTCTGGCCACCCTGGGCCAGCGCCTCACCCCCCGCACAGGGAAGGATTTCTGCCTTAGATCTCACCTAAATCTGCCCTCTCTCAATTTAAAGAACCTCTTCTTCGCCTCCAGGCAGAAAATGCTCATCAAAACTACTGCCAGTGAAGAGCCGAGGCTTCCCAGCAAGTCGCTCCACCTCGTGCCACCAGGAACAAACGCCGCCGGGCCCCCAGCGCAGGCTGAGGCCACAACCGCCCACGGGCCTCGCACCCCTCCAAATCCCGGCCGTAGCCCCGAGCCGGCGCGGACCCCAAACACCCCAGCACCAGCAGCAGCCCGCGACGGCTGCGGGATCCTTCGAACCCGCCCCCCCCCCCCCCCCCCCCCCGGCCGTACCCTCCGTGACCCCCATCCTTCCCCGAGCGACTGGGATGCCCCGGCGATGATCTCCAAAGCAGCAGCAGCAGAGACCCCGGGCCCGCCGCCAGCTTTACGGCACTTTCATACTCCTTAGCCAAATGATCGCCCGGGGCCGTCGCCTCTGGCCAGGGGTCCCTGCCTGCCCTCCCCACGTACCCCCCCCCCCCCCCCCCCCCGTCATCCTCCCAGACCCCTCCAAACGCTGCCCACCCCCCCGGCAGCCGAGCCGAAACGCCGGAGCTAAACCGCAGGAGAGTTCACGGAGGGTGAGCGGTGACTCCCCCCCGCAGGGGAGCTCTGGGCCAACGCAGACCCGGCTGTGCGGCGAGGGGGGCCCCTCCGGCAGCACCCCCGTGCCCCCCCCGTGCCGCTGACACCCGGGACGGGAGGCCCCTGCACGGCTGCCACCGCTCCCCGTCCCTCCCCCAGCCCCTTCCCCGTTGCCCTTCGGCAACACGTGCAGCTGGCAAGCTATTAAAATACTGCAGGTGAAAATTATAGGTTAGCTAGTAAAGCCTTACAGAGGTCTCAGAGAAGAAAGGAAAAGGCTCTTTAAACACACCTTTCTGGCGGCTGGGAAACAGAGCTGTCCCAGGGCCAGCTGCGGGGCTGGCCAGCTGCAGGGCCAGGAGGGCTCGGGCACCTCTCCTGACCCCCAAACCCTTCCCTGGGCACCCTTTCCCCTCACTTTAACCCCCCCAAACTCTTCCCTGGGCACCCTTTCCCCTCTCCTCACCCCCAAACCCTTCCCTGGGCACCCTTTCCCCTTGCTTTAACCCCCCAAACCCTTCCCTGGGCACCCTTTCCCCTCGCCTTAACCCCCCAAACCCTTCCCTGGGCACCCCTTCCCCTTGCCTTAACCCCCCAAACCCTTCCCTGGGCACCCTTTCCCCTCTCCTGACCCCCAAACCCTTCCCTGGGCACCCTTTCCCCTTGCTTTAACCCCCCAAACCCTTCCCTGGGCACCCCTTCCC